TCAGCAGAAACAAATATTTATCTATTTATTTATAGATGATCTTTAAACATATTTCTGCACAGAACTTAAAGTTGGTGGTGAGACAAAGATGTTATGGCAGAGCACCTTGCATCAAACAACTTTTATAAATTGAAAGAACACACATAACATACACATATAAATACATGTAAATAACCTTTGCTGCCTTTGAGATGTACCTTAAAGAGCTTAGGTCAACTGTACAGAATAAAAATCAATATTTGAATACAAATTGAATGAATTGACAAAATGTTTAACACGCTCGGCCATTTCAAACCCCGCCCCCACACTTACACATAAATTTTTATGTAAATTTATTTAGCAATACATGAAATAAGCGAGACGTGAATATATTGCACATATTCTTTAAAATCCTTGAAGAACTAGGTATTCTTCTTCAAAAGCTCACTTATGTACATTCTCAAATATGCAGCGCCTTCATATAGTTATCTATTTGTAAATGTCTGTATGTGTTTGTGCAACATGCTCATCACATCAGTGCAACTCACAGCGTGTTAGTGGAGGGGGTGAAATGCTTTATTTATATTACGTGCACAATACGCTATTTCACCTAGTCAACTTGGAGGCATACATCCAGGCGCACTAACAACATAATAAACACTTTAAAGCTATTTTTGTATTATGTAGATAACGGAAACGGTTGAAAAGGCATACAGAATGTATAAATGCATGCGGGAAAACTATTGTTGTAGTCACAAACACTGAAATGGTGCCTGCAGTTAGTGGCATGCTGATTATTCAAACAGCAACAAATAAATAAATATGTGCACGGCGCAACACAAAAGTTGCCTACTTATGAGCTTAATTAGTAGGAAATAACGGAGAGGACACTTCACTGTTGTTTTTGTTGTTGTTGTTCTTAGGACTTCCTGCTTTCCTGCCTTCCTGACAAGTCAAGTCAAGTCAACATTTCATCTGCAGTACAATAACAATTACCTGGCTGAGTTGCAGCATCAACGCAGCGCCGCTATTTGCCAAGTAGATGAAAGCCTACTTTCAGGCTTTGTGCCAAAGAAGGGCACTCACACACGCCAAGTGCCGTCTAATGAAGACAAATTACCGAAGGGCATTTTTATGCAATAATTAAGCAATGCAAAAGACTTCAACAACGACAACAACTTGAGTGGGTGGCTGTGCACAGGTGGGCTGGTAAGGCATCTAAAAGTATGCTAAAGCTCGCTGTATAAAACGGAAAAGCGGAATAAAAACTCAGTGGAGATGACTGAAAGAATTTGTGACATTTTTTCAAGTGCCCAAAAGTGTGCTACACTACAGTAGCTAAAGCTTGAAAAGTAACCAAAATGAGAAAAATGAGAAAAACGCGAAATTGTCGCAAGAATATGCAATTAGGTTCTTTTATTTTATTCAAGCACACAAAAAAAAGATAATTAACTAATGAGGGTTTTGCAAATAATTGTGTTTATAGAAAAAAGCATCTTAAGCTCCAAAGAGAACAAAGGTAGTTTGAGTTGTGGTCGGTGGGTTCTTCAAGGGGCCGTTCAGTCAAAATCGACTACCTATAAGCCTTTGAATATGCTTAAACGCTACTCGTAGCATTTACATTTTGGAAAGTGCTTTTAGGCGCACAGCTTTGAAATTTCACAACAGCGCTGGAGTAGTGTCTTCTGCTGGCGACAGTTGTTGCAACGGTGGGAAAAAGAAGAAGCAGACTACACTGTGTGGTCGTTTCCATTGCGCGACCACAATGGATTTTCGCGGTTTACATTGACGCGCTCCGTTGAGTCGCTGTTGTTGCATGGTTTTGAGCGCTGAGTGGTGCATATCAAGCACATACAAGAGATACACACACACACATCCGTAAAAGGACGCGCTGCGAGACAAAATGTATGTAGTTCACCGGAAATGCGAAGCAATTATTTTACCAATTCACCAACAACTGACCACCTCTTCCGTGCCGTGAAGCTGCCGCTCGCACCTCTTAACTCCTGGGTCTAGCAAATAACGCACTTGACATGTGTGCGCACCGCCGCAAGTGACGCTTGCCACAAAAAATACATTTTTCATATTTATTTTTGACGCTTTTGCTGTACTGTAAAATGCATTTGTTGTTGTTGCTCATCTTTTTAGGTCATTTTCATTTTGTTATGCGTTGACAATTAAAAGAGTTTGCCTTCATAGCATTGTTAGCAGAGCGGGAGCGGGGCGGCGGTAGCGCAGCTTTTTATTAGTATATTCGCTTTATTATTGTGCTTGCATTGTGTTGTTGTTGCCGCGGTTTTTGGTTGACTGATGACGCTTGATGTAGCGGCCAATGCGACGGATGGAACAGCAGACGGGCGGATTGGCTGCGCAGCTGCGTTTGTGAAAATGCTGCTTGGCTTGTTGAAAGGAAATGCAAATTGTTTTATGCGGTCACGCCAAAACGTATGCAACACGCGCTTCACTATGCATTATTGCTGTTATTGGTCTAGTTTTTTTCGTCGCTTTTTATGCACATAAGCGTATATAAGTAAATATGTGCGTAAAAAAACCAGCGAATACTTAAAAAGCTGCACAGCAAGAATAAAAAAAACTCGTAAGCGGGTTTACACATGTTACCAGCGAAATGAATGAATGATGAATGCAGTCCGAAGCGCGCCCCCGCTCGCTCAGCTATTATGCACTAGCTGGCGTTTCCCACAGACTCTCCGCAGTCCTTCGGAGGCGCTCTTTTTTCGCTTAAGTTTCCATACGCCGCTTATTCGTTGCATACTTTTTGGCGTGCACGCGCGATAAGGTAAGTCGCTTTTATTGTCATTCACAGTCAGTGCAACAAAAACAGGGTGTTTGTTGTTGCATCTGTTCACAAATGTTTTACCGCTCGATTAATGGATGTTAATTAAATTTTTAATGCGGTCAATAATCATTTACTCTGTGCTAGCTGTCTACCTGGCGGAATGTGTGTGCTTTATCTCTGAGCGCGCACGATAAGCAGAGCGGATGTGCGCTGGCTGTTTGTATGTGTGTAGATAAGTGTAAATATTAAAAAATAAATGCCAGAATGTTGACAGAAGTGCACCGCATGTTAATTTAATACAACTGCGAAGGCAACAAGGACTATTGATTTTAATAATTAATTGTTTTGTTTGTCAAGTGCAGCACTTGATCTATTAAAATATGGTCAAATGCCATTTGGGCAGCTAATACAAAAGCACCACTGAGTACGAAGTCTGTAGAAACACAGGTAATAAGTGAAACTCAAACACGTTGCTGTGTAGAATAATATTTCCTTGTGATATCGGCGCATTTGAAAGGGTACATGGTTAAAGATATATACATCTGATCCTAAGTCTTTACTTTTCAACAGCATTGTCAGAGTTCCTTGAATAATTATTTTAAAGATATCTCAATTCTCTCCTTAACCCGCTTCAATGAATATGCGTTACAATATTTATGTAGATGTCTTCTCGAAACTGTTCTTTTGCAGACACAATTATTTGAGAACTGCTCCCTTTAACTACTTAAATTCTGACGAATTTTTCAGCACAAAAAAGTTACGACTTCTTTTTAAACCTTTAAAAATTCAATTTATTTTTAATTAATATTAAACTATATTTTTGAGTTATGTTTGCTTTTTATAACAGCATTTTTTCATCAATTTTTTATTTGCCAATTTTTAATTCCGAAACATAGCCATCTTATCAAATCAACAGCCGGGTATTTGTGAGCCCAAATTTTATGCAAATAATTCGACAATGTCATTTGCAATTCAAATGACATTTAATTTGCGCCCGAGCATCAAAAAATCCTTTTCAACGAATGTCTTACGCACATTTATACAACGAGTAAAAATAATTGCACGCCTAATAATAAGAACCGCAAATGTGCCACAAAAGTCAAATACTGCTAAACAACCGACGAAACAGACGGCCAACCACACAATTATGCTATTTATTTGCGTGGGAGAGTAAACTGTTGAGCCAAATTCAAATGAGTCGCATTATTAATTGTCCTCACCAAGGCAAGCGCATCGGCTGGCATTGTCAAAAGCGTTGGTCTTGCCACAATGAACAACTTCTTCATTACAGAAGATGTTAAGATTGTCATTTGCTTGTAAATTTTCGACAAATTCTATGCTAATGAGCAATGAAAGGAGTTTGATAAGCGCTTTGCGCCTAAATGTATGCTAAACAGCGTAAATAGCGTACCGACCACAGCGCATTTGCAAACATATATGTATGTATGTGTGTGTGCGTTGGATAAAGTGCTCATTGCCGGTACACAGACACATCAATTGATTTGCATTTACAAATATCGGAAAGGATATTTACGTCAGCAGGTCCATCACAATTTGCAGGGAAATGTACCAAATGCCATGTCGCATTTTCTTGCAAAGTCTCGCCTTGTTCGTATAATTAATGCATTTTAATTATAAAGCCTCTACAAATACAGGCGCACTCCCAAGACCAACAACAACAACTCAATTTTCAATGTCACCTCGTTGAAATTGCCCAAGTCACCTTAAAGCTTACGAAACTTCCATCAGTCTGCTCGTCTTCTACACTTCAAATTATCATCGTATTCGACTGCTTGCTCTCGCCTGGCTACGCCTATTTAAGGGTTAATTGGTATGGATTCCTTACGCAACTACCTTCGCTATACTTCACTGGTCTTTGGTCTAAGAATCCCTTTGCTTTGTAGTTGTCTACTTTGTATGTGTGTTCCGTGGCCTGGTATGTCCTGTTTCGCGCTCGTAATTAATTTGAGACTTATGCATATTACTTTTTTTGTTGTTGTCAACTATACCTTTACGTCCGCTGTTGTATTGCTTTGAATTAAATCCGTCTGCAGCGTATAAAATTCTCTTTCTCTACTCGCTGCTACTTCCTGTTCCACGCCTAAAGTTATGCTTCGATTTTATATACTTTTTTAGTATAAGATGTCTTAAACTCAAGTTTAAGCTTTGTTATTCTTTACTATTTCCCTTTCCCTCACGAGACCTATGTTTCATCGCTAAGTTTATAAAGCTTTTTCGGTAGCACATAAGCCTTGGTATATTTTATTGACTTCCCTCCCTTCGAAAACAGTTTCAGAACTCGAAAACTGAAGAACTATCAGTATGAAACTACAATTTCAATAATTGAATAGATACGTGTTGACTGATTAAATCCCGAAAATTATTTTAATTACCTAGAATTGGCAATCTCTTTTTTGAAATTGCTGTCAACATTTATTTTAAGAAAGAAATTTTTTCCGTTTGTTCAAAATTCTTCGTGCTCATTATTTGATTTTTTTTTGCTGGTAAAGCATTTTTGAAATCACAGTAGACATCGAAGTAAATTTCCAAAAATCGTAGACATTTGCGAAGACCAGAAGTGTGGCAATTTTATTTCAGTGATTTTCTTTGAATTAAAATCGGCTCCGGACAAACACATCCACAAAAATGTCACGCATCGGCATCAACGGTTTCGGTCGCATCGGCCGTCTTGTATTGCGCGCCGCCATAGATGACTGCGCCTTCGTCGTGGCCATCAACGATCCCTTCCTCAATCCTCATTACATGGCGTACCTCTTCAAGTACGACTCGACGCACGGCCGCTTTCCGGGTGAGGTGACCGCCGAAGATGACTGTCTTATCATCAACGGCACCAAAATCAAAGTCTTCACACACAGCGATCCGACTTTAATTAATTGGTCCAGTGCCGGCGCAGAATATATTGTCGAGTCCACCGGCGTATTTCTGACAATGGAAAAGGCCGCGGCGCATTTCGCAGGCGGCGCACGCAAAGTCATTATTAGCGCACCCTCACCGGATGCGCCTATGTTAGTGGTGGGCGTCAATCTGGATGTGTATGACAAGGAAATGCGCATAGTTTCGATGGCTTCCTGCACTACAAATTGTCTGGCGCCGCTGGCTAAAGTCATACATGAGAATTTCGAAATCATCGAGGGCTTGATGACCACTGTACATGCGGTCACAGCCACACAGAAGGTGGTGGACGGTCCAAGTGGTAAACTTTGGCGTGATGGTCGTAGCGCCGCACAAAATATAATACCCGCCACAACGGGTGCTGCTAAGGCGGTCGGTAAGGTTATACCTTCGTTAAATGGTAAGCTAACTGGAATGGCATTCCGAGTGCCGGTGCCAGATGTGTCTGTGGTGGATCTAACAGTGCGTCTCAATAAGCCGGCGCCATACGAGGTAATCAAGAAAAAAATTCTGGAAGCGGCAAACGGACCTTTGAAAGGCATACTTGCTTACACCGAGGAAGAGGTGGTCTCGTCAGACTTTCTGCATGATATAAACTCGTGCACCTTCGATGCCAAGTCGGGCATATCACTGAACGACAAGTTCGTGAAACTGATTGCTTGGTATGACAACGAGTATGGCTATTCGAGGCGCATCATCGATCTCATTCGATACATGCAGAAGAAAGAGTAAGGCAAAGGGGCAAGCCCGGTAGTTTGAATTTGGAAGTGAATTTTGTATCGTATATAATAGTTTTATATTGTTTTGTTTGAGTTTTGTTTTTTAATTAAATATTTATTGACAATAAACGAAAATGCGTGTTGAATAAATCTAAGTGGCTTGGGTAAGTGCTTTTAGAAATGTTGTAACATACGAATACGTATATCAAACTTTATATTGTATAAGCGATTTAGCAACTAATGAACGCCTTCATTAAGGTCATTTGTGGTGGAGCGCTGCAAAGTGGAAGCCCATCACTAATCGCCAATTTCCAGGAAGCGCAACTCGTCGCTGCTGTGTGAATGCATACAAATTGAGATCCTTAAATTTCACTTCCCGCAATGAGCTCCGAACCAAAAAGCAGAAATGAATGCGCTCAAGTGAATGAAGCTTGTTGCTTGGCTGGTACATAAACGCTTCAACGTCGTCTGCTTATTTACGAAATAAATCAATCAATTTGCATTTCCCGTTTGCTTCTCGCTGCCTTGCAGTCCTAAGCGGGTCCAAAAGCAGCAGCTAAATACAAATAAATAAGCGGATGGATTTGCATTATGCAGCGGAGTGTAGCTGTTTGCTGGTGCTACTTGCAACGAGTCGCCTGTTTGCAGCTAATTTGCATCCAAACGAAGCAATAACCCAGCCAGCAGGCAGTTGACAGCAACAAAACTTAGACAGTTGGCAGCAGCGAAGACCCTACACTACTCCATGCGGTTGGGTACGCTAAGCCGGCAGTGGACAAACAAGGCGGTCGGCGAGCGGGTCTGCGATCAACAGTCGAAACGGCAAATGAAATCGATTTGTGGATTATTTCATTACATAGCACAATGAACGCCAACAACAACACGTTACCAATGTCAGCAACATAAGTTGACAAAGGCAATATCAAGCGCATAACTGGTCAACTGCCAGCAACCATCAGCCAACTGCCATCTGCTTAAGCAAGCCGCCAGCCGCTGCGCCTCTTCGAGTCCACAAATCGCCGGCTCGGCTGCTCAACTCAGCTCGTTAATGCCAAAAAACTCATTTGAATTTTAGTTTTCATTTAATTTAATTCAATTTAATTTAATTCGTTTTCATTTTGCTGCTTCATCCTATTTTCTGCTGCACTGTGGTCTCTCAAAGTTTTGTTTGTATTTTGTTGTTGTTGATTTTCGTATTTATTCATCTCCATGCACATTGTTATGGTTGTTTTAGCCCTTTTTTATGCTTAGCTGATTTTTCATTAGTTTTTTCGCCTTAAGTTGGGCATCGATAAGCGCGAATTCGCTGACTTTGAGAAGTAACTGGAAGAACGGTTCGGCGGTTGGACGAATGGATCAACGGATGAATATGCTGAATTTGCAAATGACTGAATGGCTAGCTGTACGAAAGGTACAGTTGGTGACGGTTATTGGCAACTTTTGTGTTTATTCTTGTAATAAGCCTTATGATGAAGCGTGTTAAAAAGTTGGACTTTCGGAATGTAACCAAAATATTGACTTCGACGGACAAATGACACTACGGCAGTTTTCGAAAACCTGCCGATGAACACGAATATATTTATGAAGAGAACTCTGATAATTTCATTATATTTTGGAAACCGATTACTTGGTTAATGAATTTGGAAGGGAACTAATTTGTGACCAAAAGAAAGACCATTACCAATGAGAGGAGAGAGGCTGCAGCTCTACCGTAGCTTCTCATTACCTAATCTAATAGAAATTTAGTTTTGTAATTGAAATATATCAACGAAAAAGTTCTTGGAACCGCTCACTTGAACTTCGTTTCGATTTCGTAGACCGCTTTGCCCACTCCTCAAGTACTCCATGCCGTTACTGTAAATCTATTTTGACTTTGCACTGAAATTAACCTTTAACCTATTTATTTACTAGAACTGACATAATATGTAATTACAACAACAGCAACAACTAACGGTTATAATTGCAGGAACGAGCTGAGATGATGACGAAGGAGGCAAGAACAGCGCCACGGCGTGGCATTATTTGCTAGAAGAGTCAAGTAATGCGGGTAGAACTACCGTTATATTGCATTACGTAGTACAACGTATACGAGATGAGGACGTGTGTGTGCGCGGAAGTGCCTAAGTGCTGACGAAAATACCAGAGGACACGACCGCGAACTGCAAATTCAACTCTGCACTGTAACTAACACACCGCGGCTGCTATGCTTGTTGTTGCTGCTGTTGCAAATGTTACAGGTGCAAACTAGCAGGTCAAATGCAAAATATGCGAAGCAGCAACAACATCCGCCAACAGCAGCTCGTTGGCATCCTTTTTCAGTATACAGAGCGCGCCTCGCCTCGCTTGGCTGATACGTTGGCCGCCTCCTTTCGTCGTCATTATGCAAGGACATCGTCTTATTTGCACGAATTTCATTTTAGAAAATTACCAGCAATTAAAGTGAGTAAAGCGACGTTGCTGTGGTCGAAGGAGGGGACGAACGAGAATAAGTGTACTGCCAACGGATACAAAACATCCGGTTCGATGGCAAAAAGGCGCTGCTACTTGCCGCTGAAAGATTAGTATGTGCTCTTGTGTGAAGACAGTGTGCATCCCTGCAGCTGCCACTCAACTGCAGTGGCTTTTGTGGCATGCAACTTCCGTCACACTATTGTAGTGCACATGCGTCCTTCTCGACCAGCCGTTGTAGTATCCCATCGCCTCTACGTTCACTATTACGGGCTAGTTTTCACTGCCGTTCCACGTGCTACTCTCCAGTTTATGCTATCATCTTGTTGTGCAGCCGCCACCGTCTGCATATCTTAGAAGCAGCGCTTTTGCAAATTAGCTGCCATTTGGTCGTGCGGCTGCACCCAACTTCTTCGCCACAATTCGCAGCAATTCGTCAAATCACAGCTCTAAAGCATTCGCCGTTACAGCTGCACCGTACTAGGTCAGCATTGGTGGCAATTAGGCAGCGCTTGCTGCCGCCGCAGGACAACACACATTGCTTGTCAAGAAATGTTCGAGCAACTTGGAAATTTGTCGACTGCTTGCGAGGCACCTTTGGCTTGTCGCTGTTAATAACGAGGTGACTACAGGACTACGCCAACTCGACTGGTCATGCTGTGGCAATGAGATTGCAAGCACGACGTTTTCAGTAGTAGCACCGGCAGCAGTTCGTCCTCGTGTTGCTAATTGAGCTGATGTGCTTTGATGTAGTTTACACGCCGCCCGTGCTGTGACCTCAGCCGCTTGCTGCACCATTGTCAGCGACATTTGCACTTGCAATTTATGCGAAAATTTAATAAGTAACGCGGCAAGCAAGCAACAGCCAATTAGCGAGGCGTGGAAAGGACGCCACTAACGATGTCCCGGCCGATGCTGCTGTTGAAAGCGGGTCAAGTTTTAATGCAGTTAATTCGCAACGGCACAGCTCGCAGCTGCACATAATAAGGCGCTACATTGGGGCAGTTCATAAATTATTACTCACTCGCAAATTAGTGCTCTCATTTCAATTAGCCACTTTTCTGTTAATATCAAGGTTTTCTGCTGCTGCACGCCTGAAAGTATGCAACGGCATAATATTATCTAATTAAGCTATGTGCATTATAGTTGCTGGCAATATGCGCTGTGTTCGCTTTGGCCCGTGTTACATATTTAATGCAAACGTGACTAGCATACGATTTTTAATGGAACGAAAGTTTAATTTGTGGTGTCAATACGGTCGCGCTTGCGCTTAGTGCCCTCAAGTTGTTCTCTATTGCTTAATTATATAGATTAAGTTACCGCTGGCTCCCCATTTACTTAACACCGGAAGGTCGTCGTTGTTGACACAAAAAATAGTATTTAGCATAAATAAATTTGCTTCAGATTGGCATAGCTTTGAATGCACTAAAATTAGAGCTGCCGAAATGTTACTTAGCATTATTTTATTGTGCTCTGTTATCCCCATACCTCTTATCTATATCCCATATTATTAAGAGAATTATAGATATGCAAGAGTTGGGCACCTAAACTTCGTGAAAAAATGTACAGCTCAGATATAGTTGATTCAACGGTACTATTTTCATCTTCTAATTTGACAGAACAACTGTGGGTTATTATGCGCTGAGAATAGAAAACTTCTCCAGTTCCCTCTATCCTATGCAAGATCACGTAAGTTATAAACATCTAAAGTGCAGTCCTTGCACTTGGTCGTTCCATTTGATGTGTATGCACCCTTGCTTCTGTTGTCCACTTATGGGTGTCGAATCAGGAGAGCTTTTTGCTGAAGCAAGATCTTCCATGTCTACGTTATTATCAAGCCTACTCAATAGATTTTTATGCGCTTAACTATATCCATGTAGCCGTAGAGCTCATACTGTTCGTGGTTCCAACTTCTTCAGTACTCATGGGTCACGCGAACGGCTACACAGATCTTGCCGATAATAGTTTTCTCGAATACTCCAAGTACTTTCTCATCTCAGTTCGTCATCGACCATGTTTCTGCGCCGTATAACAAGACGGGAATAACAAAAAAGTAGTAGCTGTAGGCTAGACTTATTCCACGGTTATATACTCGCCAATACTTTCAGACGTATTTTATAGAAATTCGGCTCAGGTTTCGGCACAAAGTCTTTTCTAAAAATTTAAAGAACAAAGTTGCACACATTTTTACTATTATTTTAGATACTTATAACCGTAAACATATTGTTTCCAATAATTTCTGATGCCCCCACTTGCCCTTGAAGGCCCATCTCTTTCCTTTCGTAATTTTTAGTTCGTATTACTATATGAACACCCCACATATGTACACACATACAATTTTGTTGCACATACTTGTAGATACTAAGGACTATGGATATATAAAAATTGTCTGTATGTGTGGTAAATTCCGATCTGCTCATGGCGACGCGCACTTTAATTTATTGCGTCTGTCGATGATTATTTTCTATTCGTTTTTTGGCGATTTAACATTTTAAAAATTCGACTTCCTTCAACCTGCCACCCACAGGGGCACACACACATACATTCGAGTATCCATCTTAAACCACATACTCCCAACCGGGTGCGCAAAGAAGTGGAGTGGAATGTACGCCAATTCGCCGAGCGCTTCAAACACTCACCACCCCTTCCACGAGTTCCCATGTGTTCAGCTGGTCAAACAGCAAGCG